CAACCTAAAGACGTAACGTCAACTCGATCCTACATACTGCACCTTTACCCAACACTTTCCTCCTGTTCCTCTGCATCCAACTCTTGATCCTGTCCCTCTTTTACAAACTCCACAGCCTCACCGGACTCTTTTCTTTGTCTCAGCCTTGCTGCTGAAATGTGCCTTGCTGCACATTTCAGCAGCAAGGCATTTCAAGGTGCTTTACATAATTAAAAAAAAAAAAAAACCCAAAAAAACCAGCTTGTGACATTGAATAAACAGTAAGAAAGAGAAAGAGATTTTGGGAAAAAAAACACTTACTACTTCCGTAAGTGTTGGAATGTGCAATTAAAACAATCTAGAAAGCATTTAAAGCAGCACCATATCTGTGTAGAGCTTAGTTGGCAGTCAGGATTTAAATAACTGAAGGCTTTACCAGGTTCTCTGATGTCCCTAATCAGTAATCAGTGTTTCAAAGGAAAGGTAAAAGCCATTTTACTCCTTATTAGTGATGGAGAGTCAAGGCTTTATGAATCTATGACCACTTTAGAAACATGGTGTTAAAAATTACTTCACTGGTCAAAATGTCATTTATTTTTACCGAGGGTGACACCTGCTGGCAGAGTGTTTCCTGTTATATGTGAATTGATTGTTTATCTAGAATGATTTTTGATTAATCTTAACACGACACTAAATTCTTAATGGAACCTCTCAATGAGCCTTTGTTTTATTTTTTATTGCTTATATAAACAGGCACTTTGCTCCTCAGATTTCAATTTGGAAACTCATTTTCCCACTTATTCGTGCAAAGTTACAGGGTGCTGGTGACCTGAGTGAAGCTGACCCTCCACCTTCTTCAAATCAGACAAAAATGGTGTCAAATGTTTGTGCTGCATTTGTGCCTCAAAAATGTTTGTGCCGCTATCATTTTAAAGACATTAATAAATGTTTCCAGAGGTCATCAAAGGTCAAGCATCCCCCTCCACCTTCTGCAAATCAGACAAAATTGGTGTCAGTCAACTCAACTATGTTTGTGCTGCTTTGAAGATATTAATGAAAGTTTAAAGGTCAACCAGACCCCTCACTTTTACAAAACCAAAAAGTTTTGTAAAACCAAAAAGTATTTTGGATGGATGCAGTGGCACAACTGCACATCATTCAGGTGGATACGAAAACATAAATCGGCGCCCCCCCCCCCCCCCGAGGCGACGCTACGTGGAGTGTAAAACTCCCTACATTTACCTCGTTATGTGCGAGAGGTGAAGGAGCGTGAGGCGCGCTGAACTGTATGGAAAAACATAATCGGCGCGTCGCCCCCTCCAGACGGGGTTTTGGCGCCCCCTCTGGTGCTGCGCCCCTATGCGTTGCATACGCTGCATACCTACTTTTTGCGCCTCTGGATGGATGGATGGATGGATTGGAAAATGCCTATTTCTCCATCTTTAATTTCCCATGTTGGTCTACAAATTAATCCTTGCAAAGAAAAACACAGAATTATCTGGGTACTTGTTTTATTTCTTCCAGACATTTTAAACAATTAATCATGTAAGAACAAAAATAAATCAACACTCATAAAAAATAAAACATCTTTATTAACTTTAGCTAAACATTAAGAGCAATGCTAATCAGTATTTACACAGAACTAAGCAGGTCACATCACATT